ATACTGAATCATCCAAAAGAGACAAATTACAAACTGGGGGCCTTCTTCCCTGCCACGTACCATGAGTTCATCTTCCTTGCTGCACTTAGTCCTGCCTTGTGTGACAGAGATCACATTCCTTCTGCTTCTCTTCCATTTAGAAAGATTTTGCTTCAGTTTCTGCTTCTGACTCTGGCAAAACACCCCAGTGTCTGACTCAAGATCTTCCTGGTTTATGTAGATTCAGGTTCACTTTTAAACTGTTAGCAGCGTAGACATGGATCTTGTGCTTGGGCACTGTTTGGATAGGTAACTATAACACGCTTTGATTCCTCCACTGTGGTAGAACAGCCCTGTGTCCTGCAGGCCCTGTTCTACTTTGCCCGCTAAGGCATCTAGGCTCCACTGCCAGCTACTTGGCTTTCTCAACACCTGGGCAGCCTTTTCTCTCCCTCTCTTGGTTCAACCACTGTCATCACTTGGCCTCTGTAGGACCAGGGGCTCCCAGCCTCTTCCCTATGTTGCCAGTGTTTCCCACTACCCAGCATCTGGTTACAACAGGGACTGCTTCTGCCTTGGGCACCACTGGGGGAGTAGCCACTTGCCAACTGACTGCTGCTCCCCTTCTTCCTGGCATTCCTTTCAAATTAGGAGCAATGGAGGTCTATGTGGTACAGAGACCTGCTACCAGCATCAAAAGTGATAAAGCATTTGAAAATAACTTAAAAATAAATGCTATATTTTAAAATTGACTGTGCAATTAGATACAGGTGTACAAGATAAGATTCAATTCTATTTCTTATGTTAACCAGGGACAAAGTATGAGCTCCTCTATTGCAGTTGTTGCTGTTGTTGTTTGTTGTCTTTGTTGTTGTCTTATTCTTTGTAGTATCTTTTTTCTTTCTTTCTGAAAATAAAAATATGTCCTAGCTTTGGCTGGGACATAATTGGGGGGGGGGGGAGTGATAAAGCATTTATTAAAAGGAAAATGTCCACATACACACCTTCAGCACAGCAACAGAGTGAGCATGGGATCCAAAGGAAAAGTATAAAATGTAATTCCTCTGTCCCTCCCTCTGTGCATGCCCTATCAGACGTTAACATAAAGCAGGCTCTCAGCTTAAAAGGTTACGTTGGTTCTAAAGGGTTCCCATTACCTCGGAGCCTCTGTCTAGGGAGGCAGTTCTGCACATCACAATGGCAGACTCCAGCAGACCCCAGGTGAAAGCTCTGTCTGCCTCGATGGAATCAGCCCAAAACAGACCCTCCTCCTCGTGCCCTGGATTTTTATCACTTCTCTTTTCCCTCCCACTGCCCAGCTCAGGCCAGATCAAAGAAGCTTTTCCTGAAGCCTTTCTAGCACCTCTGTCTTTCAGATCTCTGGCAGGTGGTGCCAGAAGGTTGTAGGCCCTCTGGCATGGCCATCAGGCAGCCTCAGCCCATTATGCTTCTGGTTTTGTATCATTAGGACACAAGTAATTAGGTGGTGTGGAATGTTGTATTGACTCTAGTTTTGTGGTTCTTAGATTAGCAATGTGAAGAGCATAGGTCCAATACTACATTTATTACTTTACCATTATTATCTTGATTGTGTGTCTTATAAAAGAAGCATTTAATTAGTGATAGCCAGTAGGAGAACCTTATAAGATGCCCCCCCCCCCAAGATATATAGTGAAATGCCTGAAGCCAGCAGCTTGCCTCCAGATACTTCCTTCTCCCTGAAAGATATTAGGGAACTACTTATTAGTGAATTTAAGAACTTTAAAGCCATTATAACTGAAACCTTCAAAAGGAAACTTTGGTTTCTAGATAAGCAGACATTAACAAGAAGTTTCATTTTGAAGGTTTCAGTTATAATGGCTTCAAAGTTCATCTTATAAGGTTCTCCTACTGGCTATCACTAATTAAATGCTTCTTTTATAAGACACACGATCAAGATAATAATGGTAAAGTAATAAATTTGGTATAAATGTAGTATAGTAGATATTTCCTCTATAAAGGATAAGAAGGATAATATAACTTGTATTAAAGAAATTGTACAAGAATTCAGTGACTTTTACACTAATTTGTACTCTTCAAAGAAGAGTTTTGTCTGAGAGCAGTGAAGTATTGGAATAAGGTAGCAATTTGGTAAACTAGTAGTATCTCTAAAACTCCTGGAGCTCTGTTATTAAACATTGTTCCTTTACTCCAAATTACAAGCTGTTTTATTAAATCTGATTACAGCAGTAAGACTGATGTATGCGAGGCACTGGAAGTCAAAGGAAATTCTGAAAATCCAAGAATGGATAGACTTGAAATTTATTTAATTTTTAAACCTACATATCTTTTGAATGGTAAAAACTTTGATGAAATATGGTCCAAATGGTTGTAATTAATCACAGTCAGGCAGATGTTCATGAGTTTGTGATTGTGTCCCCGGTCACACGGGCCGGATAACGCAGGGGGGAGACGTGGCTAATTGCTCCGGTGCAATTAGAGCCGCCAGAACGTGATCCGATGCGTCGGCGGCAAACCACGGGTCCTGTCTTCTCCGCCTGTGCATTAACGAGGGGCCGGCGCAATCACACCACAGGGGTCCGGCAGCAGCCCGTGGCAAACCGTTTGTCACTACATATGAGGTACTGTTTTTTTATTGCGCTTTTTCGGTGGTAAGCCACGGGTGAACTCCACTTGCCAGATGTTGCGGTGTGATCGCGCTCTGATAATCTGCCCACCACTCGTGGCTCTCCCGCAGCAAATTCGCTGTGTGACCGGGACCTGTGTATGTTTTTGTATATAATAAAAAATAAAGCCAACATTTTGTCAGCAATAAATCACATTATCATGTCATGGCCCTGCAACTTTGCACCATGTTCAGGTATCAGTGTGCAATGCACATGCAGCCTCTCTAAGGTAATTCGATCTTGAGCAACCAGTCTGGGATGCCCTCTCCAAATCTGTTGCCTCCTAAATTCCTCACAAGTGTGAAAAAGCAGAGTGACAATGGTCGAGGGGTTCAGGAAAAACAGACAAGTGCGCATGACAGCAGCTAATGACCACCCTAAAAAGAATCCATGTTCAATATGTGTCTCCTGTTCCTGATTGGTGCTAATTGAATGTTGCTGTTTTGTGATGGAGAAAGGAACCTTTTATTTCTATTCATACCTTATTTTTGGAGTGACTAGTTCCAAGCATGACAGCAGGGTGGGATCATTTGCCACTACAAAGCTGCCTTCAGCAGCATCCCCGTGGAAAACAATATGTCTTCCAGCCTAAGGAGGAGTATACTGAGTACTTCCTCCACTAGTGCCAGGACCCCTAGGGAAGGAGAGATGCTATTATAGGGAATCCATGTGACATAGATTCTAAATTACTGATGAAGGCGAGGAACCAGCCAAGGCTCCTGTTTTGCAGTTATAATTATGAGCTGAATAGGCAACTGTCACGGAACAGTTTTGCCCAGCATGAGACTAGGTTGGATTTGGAGGACATAGAGAACTTTGACAAAAGGCTGCTAACTTGCTTTCCTCATATTGCCAGGCAGCATGTAAGAGGCTGCTATAACCTGCCCATCTGTATTCCCCAGGTTCCAGTTGGCAAATGGATGTTTTGTTGTTTTGGATTCAGAACTGCTTTCTTTCCATGCAATATATGCTCCAATGTAAGCTGCAAGCTTGAATCAATTAGGCCATCTTCAGTCTTTTAAAATTCTATGGATTAAACTGGTCTCCTCTTACTATATGTGTAAGTACGCGTGCACACACACATGTATGGTATGTCGTTTATATTTTTAACTTTTGTTCGGTTGAAAGGTGGAATATAAAAATAAGGAATAGAGAAGCTATTCCAGCAGCATGTTGCTGCCACCTGCAGTCCAGAGAAGAAAAAAAATGTCTCCACTAAAAAGCAACTAGATTCCCACCTCTGAGGGAGGAAGAGGATTGTACAGGAAAGAATATCCTTTATCCTACTGGCATGATTTTACCTCTATGTATACCTCTATGTGAGGATGGCGGAAGACAGGAAGGCCTGGCGTGATCTGGTCCATGGGGTCGCGAAGAGTCGGACTCGACTGTGCGACTGAACAACAACATACCTGATGTTCAGCATACAACTGAACCACACAGAATCAGCTTCCATACCTTTCCAATAATTTATGAACTGGGCTTTACTGGCTTGTAGTTGCATATTGTGGTTTTGCATATTTTGATTTGTTTTTATTGTTTCCATTATGGAGAAACTAAGAGGGCAATTTTCATTTCTTTATGATTCTGCATGTAATTGTTATAGTAAAATTGCCTCAACTCTAGTTTTAATAACAGTTCCAATATCTTGACAAATTTGGTCTGCCCTGAAATATACTAATGTATTTAAATACTAAAGACAAATCTTACTATTTTACACAATAGGAATTTAATGGCAAAATTTTTGCATTCAATTATGGAATTAAACACATGATATGAACATTAAAACATGGCAACACCAAATAGAACACCTTTAACAAATGAAACTCAACAATTTAAACTGTATAAATTAACACAAAAATAATTTATAATTATTAATAAAACAAATATTTACCATGCAACTAAAATATGCAAAGTAATTTACAAGAACCACAATAAATCTTTTATTTGGAGTTAAAAAGTGCTTGGTTTTAAAATATGTTATTTCCGTTTCTTTCCTACATAATAAATTGCTTTTTTTGGCTAAATAATGTTTCTCATCTCAAAAAAAGTGATCGTTAACAAGATTACAACCAACATTTGCATGCACTTAAAATTATATGTTAAAGCTAATATTCAGCAAAGTAATTATTTAAAAGTAATAATAAAATGCTGTCACACTGCAAAAGAATTACACTCTTGCTAAATAGAAATACATCTGGAACTTTATCTTTGCACATATTCAGCAAATTTATAAGCAATCTCTAAAAATGAATATTTAACTCATCAAAACTATGCTGAAGACCCGATTTAAACTTAAACTACAATATAATTTTAAAAGAAAATGAATATTATTATCCATTTTTTTTCTGTTCCTCAAAAGAATGAGGCCTGATTGGAGATATACAGACGCTGTCCAACATGGTTGCTATTAGCAAGTGGAACTGTTGGTGACAAAGGATAACTTGGATAAGAATAAGGTCTTGATGTATATGGTAGCACACTTGTCCCTGAAGAGAGAGTAGCATTAACAGGAGAAATGCTATTTACTGAACTTCGACGGAAATTATAATCTGTAAAAATAAACAAACAGGTACACAGTTATTTTAGACACAAAGCTTAAGAAACAAGGCTGCACTCAGATAACAAAGAGACAAGTTTGTTAAGGATAGGCAGGAATCTAGCTTGTTTTATGTTTGAATGCTATTTCCCTCCCCTTTCCCCACCTCATATTCAAAGGGTGACTGAAAATTTCTGAATTTCAGAAGTGTTTGATCTAATTCCAGCTTGTAACATGCAAATAAAACCACCTAAGGAAAATGGACTCCCTCCCATCCTGGGTTTCCAGGAATCCTGGTTTATGGGGAAAAACAAACTTCAATTTGTCCAAGTACCTGTATTCACACATCACAACAAATAGGAGTTAGATGGAAGAGTTCCACAATGAAGAAGTCTTCAATTGAATTCCACATATAAGGGGAGGACAAGGGAGGATGTGAGCACGACAACAAGCCAGATTTGTAATTGTCACAAGCAAGCCCATTTGAAATGCCTACCCATACCGATTCCAAACTCTTGCTACTCAGCAACAGTGAAGGCCACTGGGCTGTTACATGTGCTGTTACTGGAGACCTTCTAATCGCTCTCCATAATGCACTGAGCACAAAAATGTCCACATGCAACTCAGTTCCTTGTACAAATAGCCTGCCAGGGGGATAGATGACTAGATTCCTGCATCCCCCAATGGGTATGAGGACCTGGTAGTGCTTTGCAATAGGCTGATTCATCCAGCACAACCATGACATCACCGGGGGGGAAGGGCTGTGGTAGTCATGACTCCAACATAGTTTCCACACCTTGATTTTCTAGGAAATAATGTCAATTCTTTTCAAGCCTCAAAAATTATGAAAGCAATGATTTCATAAAGGGTTTTCAATTTACAGATTTCAGGGGAGTTTTACACAAATTAATCTGATTTATTTTACTGTCACACTAAGTGTTTTTAAAAACTGGTTTTCAGAAAGGAAGGCTGTAACAGGCTATTAACCACTGCCTCTGAAACTTGATAGGAAAATTACAGCTAAATTAGTCACAGAAGAAAAGAAACTGAGATTCTGAATTATATTTTTAGCCAAAAAAGCACACATCTATGCAACATTTTATTCTGTAACTCAAGTATTATTTCTTATATTTAAATATTAAAACCACACATTACAAAACAAGCTTGGTTACACATATATGTACTTTGCCCTAGTGTATAAAACTTTTTTTTTAGCAGAATTATATTAGTATACAAAGGGATGTCACACAGTTACAAGCATCATTCCAATTACCAGGTACACTTACAAATCACATAAAATACATGTAAACCAAAAACAACCTTGCCATAGGAATAATGCTTGCAACTGTGTGGGGCCAACACAGGCCAGACTAGAAATATATTGCAAACAATTATATGTGAGGAAAGCAAGACCAGACAAGGCCTTCCAAACATTCCAAAGTAATATATAATTCAGCACTCTAATTAAAACTATACCTGAACAGGACACCTCCTGAGAAGTCTGTGTTAGACCTCCTTTTGTTCCATGACAAGTGGGGGCCCGCAAGACTCATGGAGGGGGGGTCCCCAAGCAGCTTTGTTGCTGCCATGGCTCCTGGGCTTTTCAGCAGCCACCACCAAGCCCAGAACAGCCCCCGGGTTCTCTGACAGCTGCCAGCAGGCCCCAGCTCCTGGGCAGCTTTATCGCTGCCACAGCCCCTTGGCTCTCAGACTACTACCACCCAGTCCAGCGCAGTTCCTGGACTGCTTTGTTCCTGCTCAGGCTGTTTTTCTTCTTTTTGGTTATTGGGATTTAAAATGTAATATAAATGAGAAGATATATATTTTAACATTAGTTTTTAAAAAGTGGTTGTCTACCCTTCCTGCACAATTGCCTGTCTTCCAGTGCTTTAAAACAAGAAATCTACCTCCCTTTGTCTGTAACATTTCACCATCTGCCTATTCTTACTTGCTTCCTTGAGTTGCCAAAGCATGCCACTGTGCTCATTCTCCTATGCTACCTATTCTATCTTGATAAGTTGCCAAAATCTTTGTGACTCCTCTGTAGTCCTGGCCTAGTTGTGTTATAGCTGCCAAATGCCTGCTTGGCCATCTCTGTCCTGTTACCTATCTTCTAGTAGATGCAAAAAAAAAAAATCCAACTTTTTTTTTTGCCTGCTTTCTTGGTATTTTCATTGCTGCAATGTGCCTTAGCTTTCTCAAAGGTCCCAAATGCATTCTCTGCCATTTCTCTAACTTTGTATTTGATTTAATTTCAAGCATACTGCATACAAATGAAAATATATGTACCTGAAGAAGGAATTCTTTGCACTCTCTCTGCAGCTGCTACTCTTCCAGCAGGTGGAAGCAAGCTGTCTGCCACAGTCTATAACCCTGCCTTGCTTCCTTCAAGTTTTTAGAAACCTGGCACTGCTGAATCTCCCAGGGATCAGCTCCACACATTCTGTAATCCTGGCATCCTTAGGATGCCAAACAAATTACTTTAAGCGCCTTTCAAACACCTCCGTGTTCCCGCTGTGCCATATTATCTGCTTTCTTGGGTTGTCAAATGCCTCCATGTCTGCTAATTGCCTATAAAATTCAAATCCTTTCTCCTATCTGACTGCAATTTGGCAGGGAAGCTCTCATGAGTGGGAGTAGGGGATAAATTCAAACTATTTAATCCACACTGAAGAAGGGGAGAATGCTATAGATATGTTTTGCCTTAAAAATCTCTATAAATCTGGCATGCTTCTCACTATCTGCCTGAAATCTGATAGGGATAACCACTTGGGTGGGAACTTCTATCTCACAAATTTTTATCAAAATTGGATAGAAAACATGAAAGATTAGGTGGAAATGTTTTTACCATGAAACATTGTGGAAATATTAAGACCAATATAATGATGAATTGTGTTGGATCCCATGAAGCATGGACACAAGGTTTTCATGGAGATGGCTCTGTCCCTAGCAGTCTGAGAAGCACTTCCCCCTAGGCAATTCAGAGAAGTGTACTGTAACATTATTTTTTTCCTTTTAGATCGTTAGCAATGGCCTATCTTTTGACTAAGGGCCACAGTGGCTCAGAGGTTAAGACGCTGAGTTGCAGACCAGAAGGTCTGTAGCTCGGCCATGTGATGGAATGAGCTCCCGTCTCTGGCCCCAGCTCCTGCCAACCTAGCAGTTCGAAAGCAAGAAATTGCAAGTTAGATAAATAGGTACCACTTCGGTGGGAAGGCAACACGTTCCATGCACCTTGGCGTTTAGTTATGCTGGCCACATGACCATGGAGAAGTCTGCGGATAGCGCTGGCTCTTCGGCTTGGAAACAGAGATGAGCACCACCCCCTAGAGTTAGATTTGACTGGCTTTCAAGCAAGGGAAACCTTTACCTTTACTATCTTTTGATTCTTTCTAAAATCAAGTAATTGTGGCTGTCAATGCACATATCCCTCTTCACTCCTTATCCTTTTGTTATTTTGTGGTTGACCTGATTTGGAAAATTAAATCTACAAACTTGAGGTTAAATATCCCAAGGTAACAAATAATATTGTTAGGCAACTACAATGCATGTATTGGAAATGGTAGTATAAGGGTTAGGGGAAATTATTATGATGTTGTCCTTAAATGGCAAGAGGAATAAGCCTGAGATAATCTTCAAACATGTGACTGATAAACTCAATTTCATAATATTAAATGGTAATACATAAGGACATAAATATAAGGAATTCACTTATTATAACCAGAACAGTGTAAATGTGATTGACTGTATATTAATATCATTAACCCTTCATGATGATATATTGCATTTTGAAGTAAGATCCCTTCCGGAAAGTGATCACCGACCACTTATATTCTGTATTTGTATTTTTGAAGACTTGTGGGACTATAGGAACCCACTAACCCAGGTTGAAATTACAGCTGACATTTGTCTGAAATGGACATATACACTCCAACATTAAATACAATAGTTTGGATAGTGAGCCATTCCTTGAACTAGAATTCCCATAGTACAAGACACTGAGGCTGCCATGTCATGATATAGTGAGCTAGTTAAATCCTTGAGGCCTGTAAAAATGTTAGATCAAATGAACAAATGTGATTTATGAATAACTGGTTTGACAGTGAATGCTGAAATATGAAAAAACAACTAACACCACTCTTAGGGTGTACAAACATATTAAATTAACTGCCTACTTAAGTCCTTTTTTGAGCTCCATAATAAATATAAATGCCTACTTTTATTTTAAAAAAACTTGCCTTGATAAAAGATTCATGGCAGACAGCCTCAGACAGACATAATGAAGCTTTGGGTGCCTTCCGCAGCAGTGAATTGCTGGCCGGGTCACGTGCTGATGCCAGTGGGTGTGCACTTGCCCTCCAGGACATTTCACTTTGTGGTTCAGAGTTGTGTATTAAACTATGGAGGTCTAAGACAGATCAGCACTCCCGTGGGGCTCACATCTTGCTTCATTCCACCCCCAGGGGTCACCCCTGCCCAGTTCGTTACACCTCTGAGTACCTTTCTGTAAGGCCTAACACTTCTGGGACTTTCCTGGTACATGCTGATGGGTCCTGCCTGTCAGTCTTTCAGTTTGCAAGTGTTTTACAGGCATGCATTGCAAAGCAAGGCCTCCCCTCTGGGGAATTTGGTGTGCATTCATTCCAGATTGGGGCAGCTACCCTGGCATCCGAATGTGGTTTCTCAGCGGATCAGATTATGGCCACTGGTCGCTGGAATTCATCTGCACACAAGCTATATGTATGGCCAGGTCTACTGTACTAACTAGTTTTGTTTTCCAGTCCCTTTAGGCACATGGCGGACAGTGCTCATCATGGGACACAATATCATGTTTTGGGCAAGCAACTATGCAGCTGCATCTGGATGGGATTCCAACCTGGGTCTCAGAGAACACCTGCACATCAACTGGTTGGGATGCAGGGGAATGAAGTGGCTGGCCCTCCTTTCCACCATAGCGACTGAGGTTTATCATCGAGGCCTACCTCAGGCCATCATCATTCAGTTGAGAGAGAA